ATACTTAGCAATCTCGGGTTCGGTCCGGGTCGGGTCGTCGGCCTGCGCGGTAAAAAGTAATTGCATGTGACACCATTTTACTGGAGTCCGAACATAGAACTACGTCAGGACACCAGACCTAATAAAAACTCCTGTTTAGGCCAACCAAAAAGTCTTCCTAAAAAACACTTTTTTTTCTAGAAATAATGAGCGATCTGTATGTGAATTGAATTGAGCAGTTAGAGGCATAATCACTCCTTTAATCTATAGACCTCGAGAGTCATTTCATTCTAAAAAATACTTAGAAAATATTTTGTGAGACTTATTTTTTCATTGTAAGATGAATATATGCATATATTTCTTCTTCATAAGTTATCTTCACACTTATCAATTGATTATTATCAATTTTCAATTTGATGCCTACTTAGGCTAAGGCTTTGTTTGGGACGACTTTTTTACTGTTTTCTAAAACGGAGTTTTAGTACAAAATTTTTTATGACCATCTTAGATTGTTTAGTCATAAAATAATATTGACCTTCCAATGACCCGATTAGGAGAGTATATGTACTAGATTTGACTTATGTTAAGAAAGGTAGAGGTATACCTAAAAAGAAATGGTTAGAAAATATTATAAATGATATTTTTTATCAGATTTAAATGAGAATTTGACTTTTAGCATGACATAGTGAAGAAAAAGATTCATGTAATTGACCCTTAGTGGGACAATATGTTGGGGCTAATGAAGGTACATTCTATGATCATAAGTTGTTATTTGGTTTTTTTTAATCCAATGGCAATTGATTTAGCCTAATTGCTAGTTGTTTGTTGGGATTGCAATGAAAAAAAATTGTGTTAAGACATCTTGATAAAAAATTAGTAATGATTAACTTTCAAGCTCTTAGATCTGCATTGAAATTAATAATGTGTATTGCACTTATCTCAAAGTATATTCAAGAATTTTATAGCCCCATCCTGACTATAAGTTTTGTAAGAATATCCTGAGCCAAAACTTCTCTATTCAAATTTCAAATTGATAAGAATTTCTTAAAGCTTATGTTCATCAGTATGTAAATCTCTTTAGTCTATAATAATAATCAAGAAACCTAAATGCATATTGGCATTAAATCCATGCTCTCTCTCTCTCTCTCATAAAAAATAAAATACAATGTTTTTCAACTAATTCCATAAATGTTGAGGTCTATTTTATTATTTACATGCATATTTTCAAGAATCAAGAAATAGAATCTCCTTCTCTTACAATTTTCAAAGGAAGAATTAGTTGTGATGTCCCAGAATCTAATTTGAAAAAATTATTCATTTATCTTTTAATAAAAAATAACCAGAGCTGCCTAATTTTTTTTATCAATATCAATAGCAGCATAAATAAAATTATCGATCAAAACATTAATATACAATGAAAATAAATCATATACACTATTCAGAATCTATATAAGCATGTCATAATTACTCTGTTCTAAGTACAAAAGAATAACTAAAAAAAAGAAGCTTGAATCTGAAGGAATCTTGACCAGCCTCACACTCATGATCCTCTGTCCTAACATGAAATTATTTTGCCACATATAATGAGTTAAAAAATCCCAACAGGTAATCAAAATCTACAACTGACTTCAAAGCACGATAAAGGAGCAATATATATATCAGAGACTTAATCATAATAGTAGTATTCATATGATCATTGAATCAGTGCATAAAAAATAAAATTTACATGCAGTAATAGTAGAATTTGTAAATAGTAAAACACTACGGTGTGTAAGCTAGTAAAGCATTAAACCAATAAGAGTGTCAAATCTATAATGTAATTATCATATTTGTAATATCAATCAGTACAAAAATAAGATAAATCATCGAATCAAAAAATCAGTAAAGACTGTTGAAATCAAATCAATATAATAAAATCATATAAGAATGGGCACTTGCTATCCAACTATTCTATATCAGTTTTAAATCAATATCTTAATCACATGCTCAATATATCATGCATATCACGCGCTCAATGAATCTATTTTTTTTTTTCAGTATAAAATTCATAGACACCTTTTTAAGGCTTAAAAAATTATAAAAATATACATAAAGTAAATCATTTTATTTTAAAAATATTGGTGAAATCGGTTTGCAAAACGGACACCTGATGGTCCCAAAATCCTCACTTATACCGGCTGATTCCAATTTCTTAAGAATTTTCACCAGTGCAAAAAAATTACAAAAAATTTCTGTAATTCAATGACTACAATCTTAATGCTATGACGAAGATTGGTCAAAATAATATTTATTATGTTAGTAGAATTTCTAATGAGTTGAGCATTAGACCAAAAACATACTAAAAATTTGGGTTTGAATCACATGAAAAATTGCTTTGCATTCTTCTCGGTTTCTCCTTTATTTCTTATCTTTATACTTAAAAATACGCATGATTTCACTTATCACAACTAAAAGTAGTTATCGGTGAATTGAGAAAAAAAAAAAATTACAGACGTAATAAATTTATTATAAATAGCAACCCTCTTCCCACTTATTTTGTGCTAATATAATAATTTATTGTAAAAAATTTACAAGTTTTTAAAGTTTGCATCCAAGTCCTAATATTTTTTAATTATTGCAATGAAATCATTTTGCATAATATAATATTTTTCTATTATCTAACTACTCATCAAATGACAAAGACGGAGATAAATCTTATTAGACTTTATGTTGTCGTCATGTACGACTGCCAAAAAATTACAAAAATTTATGTAATTCAACGACTACAATCTCAATGCTATGACGAAGATGGGTCAAAATACGATTTATTATGTTAGTAGAATTTCTAATGAGTTGAGCATTAGACCAAGAACATAATAAAAATTTGGGTTTGAATCACATGAAAAATTACTTTGCATTCTTCTCGGTATTTCCTTTATTTCATATCTTATACTTAAAAATACGCATGATTTCACTTATCACAACTAGAAGTAGTCATCGGTGAATTGAGAAAAAAAAAAAAATTACAGACGTAATAAATTTATTATAAATAGCAACCCTCTTCCCACTTATTTTGTGCTAATATAATAATTTATTGTAAAAAATTTACAAGTTTTTAAAGTTTGCATCCAAGTCCTAATATTTTTTAATTATTGCAATGAAATCATTTTGCATAATATAATATTTTTCTATTATCTAACTACTCATCAAATGACAAAGAAGGAGATAAATCTCACTAGACTTTATGTTGTCGTCATATACGACTTCAAAAGTCTTACTTGATCCACATGAATCTTAATTCTTAACGCACTATTTATATTAGAAAAAGTTGAAAGTTAAATTCATAATCATCCAAACTTCAATTTCAACAAACTTACAGTTAGGGGTGTCAATATTTGACACGACACGAAAATCCGACCAGGAAAATCCGGGTTGGACCCGGCCGTTTGAAAAATGGGTCGGGTTCGCAGATTCGACCTGTTTGAAGAAACGGGTTGGGTTCGGGTTGCCGGGTCAACCCGAAAACCCGTTTATTTAAAAAAAAAAATTGAATTTCCCGATGCCCTCGCCCACTGCCCCCGCGCGCCCGCTGCCGCGCTCGCGATACCCGAGCTCCTTCTCTGCCGCGCGGGTCGGGTCCGGGTTCAAATTTCTGACCCGTTTAAACCCGGGTCAGTTTCGGGTTCAACCCGAACCTGACCCGTGACCCGAAATTGACACCCCTACTTACAGTCAAATTGAGAGTCTTGATAAGATGAACCTAACGATCCTAAAAAGTAATATGATTCATCCAAATGAGCCTAAATTATGCCACTTGAACTGAAGTTATAAATTTTTGGAACATTGATTGAAGAATCACATAATCTCTAAAATTTGAATATTTATAGTCAAATCGAGTGGCTTGACAAGATTAATCCAACAAGCCCAAGGTCACATAATCTTGAGGTCATCCAAAAAGCCCATGGCTTATGTTCTAAAGTTTCAATATGAATAATTTGATGATTGTAATAGAATTTTGACCAAATTTTGCCAAAACTTTGCTATCAAAATAATATAAACAAACAATAATTCTCCACATGAAGGGAGCATGAACTTGAGTTTGGATAGACCATGGAGATCTGAATAATATTATAGCTCTACTCAACATTTGATGCCTATTATGACACTAGTCACCATTGTCTAACGACAGTCCTCCGTCGCCAGCTGACTACGGTCCTCCTGACCTACGTCGCCCGCCGACTGCAGTCCTTCTAACAAAGCGAATACGTCGATAGTAGCTCTTTGTATTTACATCATGTAATGTACTCCATAAGATGTATATCAAGCTAAGGCCTTCTCCCAAGGAAGAGCCTCATTTGTAATCGACTGCAAATACTAGTGGATTCGTTCAAACAGGGCTAGGCCCCGTGATTTTTCCCCCTTTACAGGGGTTTTCCACGTAAAAATCTTGGTGTTTCATAAATGCTAGACCCTCTCTCCTTATCTGATTGCGTGCCAGATTTTAGTACAATGCTAAGACGTTAAATATGATATTTCTCTACCGCCGTGAATACTCATGGACGCAACATTGTTAAAATTAAGGCATAAGATTTTTGAAAAAAAAAAAATATTTGTTTTGCGGTTTAGCGGTTGTCTATTCAACTAGATTTCCAACTAATTTTTTGTCTGTTTCCTAATTGCTCGGCTATTTCAGTCGACCGAACCGGCCGCCATATCGATTTATGGTTTAAACGGTGGCCGATCTGGTCCGATTTTAAAAAAATTGGTATTGCCAAAAAAATTAATAAAATAAATAGCAACTAATGTCTATTTTAATTAGTTTGGTGAAAAAAAAATCAACGGGCCACAATTAATTGTGGGCCACGATATTTTTGTGGTGGGTGTTTTATTCATGACGTCAAATGTATTTTCAGAAGTGGCAGCGGATGGATATTGTTCATTTGTTCCCACAAAAAAAAAATAAAAAACTTAAATTAGAAACTCTTGCTCTATTACTTCAGCCTGGTTAGGGTATCCTCTCGTCATCGTGCATACGTCGCGAAGGATTGCGGAAGCATAAAAATATGGCTGAGATAGAGGCGGAAGCGTTGACGCAAACGGAGGCCAGAGAGGAGGTCGAGGGTGGAGTATTGAACCGTCAACCCCACAAACTGGAGAGGAAGTGGACCTTTTGGTTCGATAACCAGTCAAAGGTAAAGCAGGGCGCCGCCTGGGGATCATCCCTTCGCAAGGTCTACACCTTCGACACGGTTGAGGATTTTTGGTGGTCAGTTATCTGTTCTCCTCTATCCCGGCAAATAATTTCTGTGTTAGCATTGCACGCTTTGTCCTTCACATTCCACAGCAATTTTATTTTCTTCACATGGTTTGTTTTTTGCGATGTCTTCTGCAATCGATTACTGCTTGTATGACCTCGGGATTAAAGAGCCCGTTCTATTTATATTCGATTTTAGATCTCAGTTGACTAGATATGTTTTTGAATTAAAACGTTTCATGAGGGCACGGTGTTGTTGAGAAGCAATCAAGTAGGACATTATTGTCCTTGATGCAGTATTTACTTAGAATCATTATTTCACGGGTCTAAATCTTCAGAGATCTGCTATTGGCTCTGCCCTAAGATCTTCTTTTGTTTTTTTAACGGAGTTGATAGCTCATATTTTATCTAGTTTATCTTAAAATGTCCAAAATAACGACGATGAATTAAAAAGGCAACTTTTTCTTAATTTAAAAGTAGGACTTACCTTGCTAAATATTTAAATGTTACTATGGATTTGTGCGGTTTCTATGTGGATTGGTATACGGGAGCATACGGGAGACATCTATTTCCTATCATATTCTTAAAAATTCAGATGTGTCCCAATTTTGACTTGCTAGGATGGTGCAATGTGTTCATTTGGCTGGGTAAGATGTCACCTATTATTAAGGTGAGATATGTGCACCATTATAAGTACCATTCTCATCCCAACCAGGTCATCTATGCAGCTATGTTCCTCTTCACTTGTTTATGCTCCCTCCATTCAAAAACAACAGCCTCATTTTTGTTTATCTTTAATACAGTTTTTAATATGTTTTTAGAGTTGTGCTCACATGTTGTAATACAATTGGTGATATGTGATATCTATAATTCAAAGGGGAAACTTCCCTTCATTTCTTCAAATCCCAACAATGATGATTGATGATAATGAACATGGTGAGTAGTTGTGTTACCAATTGCTTGATTGTGTGGAATATCAAAGAAAAAGAATCTGCTTATACATTCAAGGGCCAATTGATGTAGAACTACATGCATAAGCAAATGTATTAGCTTTGAAATTACACGCTTTATGACGGATCAATAGCATTTATTCAACTTCCCATGGATTAAACAATAGATTGAAAACAATAAAACAATAATTATGCGTAGGCAATTGATTACAAGATAAAATTTGGAGCAAAAAATAATCAAAGTAAATCCAACGTTGCTTAACGTGGAGGTTTTCAAAAGAAATCTCTTGATTAACAATAAGACTATTCACTATTAAGATCCCTCACACATACTCATCATAACGGCTAAGCAGATAAGCTTTCATGACTTTTAATGATGCCACGATCGAGGAGAGGATTAGAAAGAGAAAGAGTCGGAGGAGAGTTCACCTTCGTCAAGTTTCTAATCTTGATGTGGAACTCCATCAAGCTTATGAACTTGTGCTCCGATGTTCTTCAAGATTGGGGTGATGCTCATCTGTGGTTTGCCTTGGAGCAAACACTCATTGTCGTCGTTGAAGGGTTGCAATGCTCGAGGAGTTTGAATGCCTTTGTTCAAGGGAGGAGGATCTACTTATTCCTCCTTAGGTGAAATATCAAGCACAAGAGAAGAAGTATATAGAGAAGGTGGTAGGGCTAAGTGGGGACCCAAGCTAGGAGGGAAAAGGGGAAATTGATTTCAGATTGTGTGTGTTGATTGTGGGAGAAAAATCACCTCAAAATTCTAAAATTTAATTCCAGCTTTAAAGGTTGGAATTGATTGGGAAATTTGAATTTGAATTTCCCAAAAATAAAGAAGGGGAGGGGGTGGCCCAATTAGATGGGGAATTGATGGATTGATTGGTGAGCTTTAATGGACCTCATAATTAGATGAGAGAAAGAGAGAGAGGAGGGGGGTGGCCAAGAGAGGAAGGGGAGGGGCCTACATGATTAATGAAGATTTGAGGGAATTAAGGGGCTTAAATGAGTTGCTAATCTAAGCCAATTTAAATTAAGAAAGAAAATTTAATACAATTATCTCTTTAATTTAAATGGCCTTATTTGGAGGAACTTTCCTACAATAATTCATCTTATTTAAATAAGGAATTTCAAATTCAAATAAATTCAAATTTAAATTAATTGATCTTCCAAATTTACAATGAGACAATTTAGGAAAGTAGTAAATGCTTGGATGAATTTGGATCCAAGGGGAGGGTTGATGGGACCAACGGCTTAGGAAGGGGGTTGGGGCTGGCGGTTGGATGGGGGTCGGCCTAGGGCTTGGGGAGGAGTTCGGCCAAGGGAGGAACGGGAAAGGTGGGGGGTTGACATAGTGTTTGGGTGTGGAATTTTGGCCAAGGCAAAAAGAAAGGAGGATGGGGCGGCGGCTAGGAGAAAGAAGGAGAAGAAGTTGGTGGAGGAGATGGACCACTAGCCCGGACGCTTCCTGTGGCTGATGGGTAATACATTGCCCTTACCTAGGGACTTCAACTCTCACAAGAACTCTCAAGCTCTCAAACAAAAAGTGTAGAATTTTCTTCTCATAATGATCATCATCCTCCAAAGAGGAGAAGGGGCTATAAATAGCTAAAATTCAATAACAACTTTAAAGACGAAAACAATGTTTAAAATTGCGTAATCGGGTGTTGAGACGTTTTTCGTTCGTGAGGCGAGGCGTAACCCACCCTCAAGGAGTTTTGAGGCGTAAGCCTCAAAATCAAAAAATTGCTCAAACAAAAAATGATAAGTTTTGTATATACTATTGAGTAAATAATATATAAAACATAAAAATGCACAAGATATGAAGTGAAATTAAAATATCCCAATAATAAGACAACATGAAATATAGTTCGCTTTTCACTGGAATTGCGCAAAGGCGGGCCTCAAGGCGAGCCTCATATTGCGCAATTTTAAACCATGGACGAAAGTACCCCTGGGGTCACATGAACCTACTTCCTCAAGTGAGGGAAAAAATGTATAAATAAATCAAATACAAATAATAACTAAAAAATAAAGTGGTCCAATCATAGCTGCAGATCTTCGGCCTCTTCTCTGATAAACTTTCCACGGTCGGATGTCCTCATCACCAATAATGCAGAGTTTATGAGGAACGAAAGCGAGGATGTTGATCCTATTGTTAAAAAATTGATGGGTCAAAGCACCTATCTTCTTTGTGCCAAATTGATAGGTTTGTGGTAAAGCATCATACTTTTGGTTTTCAAATATAATATGACACTTGCTCTATTAAAGGAGATAATTTTACAAGTTATTAATTTTGCATGTTATTATTCTCTGGTTAAGTGGCCGACTCTAGAGAAGGTAGCTAGAGCCTTTAGTCTTTTACTCTTGCATCAATTAAAAAATGACCAAGATGTGTTTTGTGGATGTTATCTAGTCCAGTTGTTTCCAAGGTCTTGAGTTTGATCCTTATGCATAGTACAATAAACTCTCACCTTGAGGACTTTTGGGTTAAACAAAAATCAAGATGTGCTTTTAATGAAATGCCCCCAAGATTGCAATGGCCTATAGATTGTTAACTGGACTGACACAGAGGTTGGAATCCTCCTTGATTTGCTAAAACTACTAGTACCACAAATTAGGGATCAAAATGGGCAAGCGTTTAAGTTGGTAGGTGGTTAGATTTCTAAGAGAAATTTTACAAGAGTAATTTCATTACATGAGCCAATCCTAGTTGCAAACCTTAGTCTAAGTTAAATTAAGTATAGTATTTTTTTCTTATCAATGATTGGGCCAAGCACTAGGTTCTTACACTAGTTTTCCTTCTAGAATGATTACTATTGCTCCTGTTGTACTCAATCATTCCTCTACAGTATCACATGGCTGCTAGCATGTAAACATATGGAAGTTATTGCAATCTGCATAGAATATGACTGAATAGCACATCTAGGCTAGTTTGCAATTACATTTTTAGAAAAAATGCAAATGTTGCCCTCATTTGAGTTGCTCAAGTGGATGGAAAAGTAGTCATGTTTGTTTACCTTTGACCCACTAATGTTACCTGAAAGGAGTTGTTTTCTGAAATTTAGCAAATGATTCAGATAATTTATGGATTGATTTTTTATTGTAGCAATCAAGGCCTTTAAATAGACAATTTATATTAGTACTAATTTGAAGTTAAACGCATCTTCTCCATGGCTTAAAATTTTGCAATCCATGGCACGCCTCAGATTGAGGCATATGCCTTAGTTGAGTGAGGCGCTCCTTAAGTTTTTTTTTTAATGAGGTGTGATCCTCAATTTGATTTGTTATTAGTTTTAGATTTTTTAAATTTGTAAGCCCAAGTCCTAATTGCCCTTATGATTTAAAGCTAAACCTATTTCATTATGAGAAAAAAACCTAAATCTGTGAATTTTGAAACTTAGTAGGAAGTAGACAAGAGAGTAACATAAAAGTCAGTATAAAATTTTATGCAATAGAAATTAGAATAATCAATATAGAATTATTTTGAGGCTTTATGCCTCAAAATGCTTTAACTCTTACACCTCACTTCAAAAAAGAAAACGCCACAATATTTGATTGCATAATTTCAGGCCTTGATCTTCTACTAATAAATTCCACAATTTAGTAGAAATCTTGTATTTCCTACAGTAACTGTACAAAAAAAGAAAATTTTATCCAAAATTTAAACAGAAAATTTTTTTCCAAACATATTCTCCTTTAAAAATCCAAACGTTTTCTCCTTGATCAAATATATTGGCAAATAACATTTACCTTATTTTGCTTATACTCTTATAATGCAGTTTATATGATCAGATATTTCGTCCTAGCAAGTTGCCAGCAAATGCTGATTTTCATTGTTTTAAAGCCGGGATAGAACCTAAATGGGAGGATCCTGAATGTGCGAATGGGGGGAAATGGTCTATTTCAAGTAGCAGAAAGGCCAATCTTGACAGCATGTGGTTAGAGACGGTAACAATTTTTCCCTTTAACTTCAGTTACTTCAACTTCATTGTTCTTAATTTAAAATTACATTTTGCTCTTTGGTTAACTTAGATTGATGGTCTTTCTGGTTTCTCTAAATCTTTAGTTCAGTATTATTCTGTTGCCTTAGAAGGTTCTGATGTTGAATTGTGTTCCCTCTTTGCATTCTTGCAGCTGATGGCTCTGATTGGGGAGCAGTTTGATGACAATGAGGAGATTTGTGGTGTTGTTGCGAGTGTACGCCCGAGGCAAGATAAACTTGCTCTATGGACTAAGACGGCTAGCAATGAAGCTGTTCAGGTTTTATGCTTATATGAACTTTATTTTAATTATTTTTGTACCATGCAATAATTTGTTTGCTGCATGTTTAATGATACATGTCCTTTTAATTGCTGGTTGTTGGATATTTTGATTGGTTATTTACTTATTTTTATTCACTAGTATTTGAAGTTTCTTTATTTCTAGAAACACCTGATTGTGAATTGTCAATAAAGATTTAGCTATCATAGCTGATGGCCTCATGTATAGGTGACCATCATGTAAGAGTCAAAAAAGTTGGTAGACTTGAGGGTAGGAATCGGAGATTAAAATGTTCTAAATACCATCAAACTTGAATGCATTTTTCTAGTTCAATTTGATTTATGCTTTTTGCCACAACATAGCTTTCATTATTACGGGGTCTCTAAGCTTAGTGTGGAACTATGATGCACATACATGGACACGGCGACACGGACACAAACACGAACACGTGACACGTCAATTATTGAAAATATAGGATGCGGACACGGATTGGATACGGTATTATAGTTTTTATATTTTAAAAATAGTGTATAAAAATTAAATAAGTATAATTTTAAAAATAATTTAAAAATAATAAGTCATTTAATTAGAATTTGTGCTTAAAATGATTAATATTAGGATGTCGAGAGTCAGGTGTTGATGTTATGCAGTAAATATTAGGTGTCAATGTTAAGAGGACGTTTATCGTTGATGTTGAGAAGGCGTTGGTTGTCGATGTTGAGAAGATGTTAGACAAAGATGAGATGTAAAATTGTGGGTATAGAAATTGCTAACACGAAGCATTAATGTAAAGACGTCGTCAGACTTTGATATGGAAATCGTTTTGAAATGTTGATGTTGTAACAACGTCAAACGTCGATGTTTAGATGACATCGGACATTGTTGTGAAATCAAAGTGGTAACACACAAAAGAGAAATGAAAATGAGAATATTCGAATAATGGGGTATTAAGTGCGGGTGATTGATTTGGTGTTGTGGATGGAAATAAGAAATTTAGTTTTTATATTTTTAAAAAGTAAAATTTTTAAATACAAGAAATTATATTTAAAAAAATTCGTAAAATATTTAAGATACGCATGTCCAATTTGTTTTTAATATTTTTTTAATTGGACACGTTTTCATCCTACACGTGTTGGAGGAGTGTCGGTCACGTGTCGCGTTGTTAGATACTGCACGCCTCTTTGAGAAGAAGTGTCGGTGCATCAGAGGTGTGGAATAAGGAAGTTTTGTTTTCACCTTGCTTGACTGGTTCTCTATACCCAAATCATCCATGCTCCCAGTCATGTGCAAACCATCTCAAATGAGCTACTCGTGCCCAGGTGGAACCTTGGTTGCACCTTTATCTGATTGCTTTAGTTCTCTTCATTTGCATACTCGGCTACTAGACAACTTTCTGTAGGTTAATGCTTGTTCTATATATGATTCAAGGAGATAAGGGAGATTAAGAGGTGTAAACTTCATCAAGGGTTACAATAAATTAAAGATGAAAAAAATGGCACAAAAAATTATATTACACAATGACCACTAAGCTGTTAAAAAAATTATGTTACATGATTTTATGCTATGAATTGATGCTATATTGCTTGGTATTTTTTGGTTTTATGCTTGATGTTTAAAATCATCACCTTGGTAAAAGTTTTGGGCTAATGCATTTTTGATAAAAATGGTCAATGGCCACCAGGTTTTAAGATCACATACTGCAATTATACTTCTTGGTTAGACCCTACAATTTGATGCCTTGTATATTTTGCTTTGTGCGTGCTGTGTAAAATCATAAATTTTTTAGAACCTTTATTGGTCTAATAATTTGTAAAATTTTTGATTGAAGAGCTAATTCTCATGAAATTGTATAAATGTTGGTCTTTATCTAGCTCTAGTGGTGAAGATTAATGGTCTTGATTTGATTTTATCTTGGAAAAAGAAAATGGATAGATAAAACTTTATGTTTTGAACCCACAATATAAAATTGTAATTAGTTATTAATATAGTGAATCTATGATTAGCATCTAAACCATTCTTGCAACTAGTGTTAATAAGGATGATTAGTTAGTGAGTTAGATTTGTACTTTATAAATACTCCATTTGGGGAGAAGATGAGGATATAAGAATATGAATGAATTTCCTCCTTTTTGAATCTAATTTCTATTTTCTCTTTTATTCTTCTTTGGGAGCAATAAAATTTCTTGAAATGCTTATTTATGGTCTTGGATCCTATCATTGGTGTTTTCGTTTATTTCATAATTGCTGATTTCGCCATCATAATTTTAATTTTGTACCATAATAACTCTCTCCACCTAAACCATCATTTGACTCTACTTCCTGCTTCAATTGCAACCACCATCAAAATGCATCTCTCTATCACAGTTGCTCAATTGTGGTATCAATCCATTCTTTTCAAGATCTCTGCAAGATTGCATATGAAAATCTGGTGCCTTCCAACTCCACCATATTCAGTTCCAACACAATCAAGATTCGCCTTTGATCGCAACTCTGATATTCAATTCGTTCATCCCAAGCATTGATTCACCAACGCATGCTTCAGTCAATTCTATGTGATACAATTTTGAGTGATCTATGATGAATAACTCGAGCCATGAATCGCGAGTGGATCTCAAATCTCTTTAAGAATCAGTAGCAGATCACATCATCATTGTGAGCCTGTCAGTGACGCCAAAATCTTTGGATCTCAGGCACTTTCATAACCAAGATCTTTTGTCTATGCTCTCCTCCCGACATTTACTCACCATCAAAAATCCAAGAAAAGCATGCCCTACCGTCTAGAGTCATGGTCAATCCCCGCGTCCAACAAGATTTTGTGAGCCACTGTCGCATGTCTTGCTTAAAGAAACCCAAGAAACCACTTTGTTCTATCTTCGAACCCCTATTGTCAATATTTGTCATTGATTGTGAACATTTGACCAAGATCAATTTGCGCTTTTTCCCTGCAATTTCTCATTTTGTCAGTCTAGATTTCTTGACCTCATATTTTACATTTTCTGTCTCAATCTCTGTAACTTTGCACTATATTTTATTTGTCGATATGTGCTTTAGACCTTGCGGTTCAATATCCACCTCGGGAAGTTTCAACTGTCCAATAACTCATAATCTTGTCAAGACATCAATCCATCACTAGCAACCTAGAAAATTATTTAAGAAAATGGATGTTGAAAAATATGTAATAGAGTGATGAAAAGGTTATCAAGTTGGTTGGAACTTTGTAATCTTGAAAGAAATTAGCTTGAGATTCACGAATAGTGAGAAATACTTGCATTGCCTTGAACATCAACAGATTCTCCGCCTGAGAGTTCTCCAGCATAAATTTTGAATTGGCCATTTCCACTGCCGCTTAGGCCACGTAAATAGATGACATGACACATCAGATTATATCCTATTTTGAAGAAGTTCAAGACAAATCCAATGAGATGGATCCTTTTATTGATGAAGTCTTGAACTCATTTTTGGAAATCAAAGTGACTAATGAGTATTTGATGACTGTTGATAACATTCTTTATGATAGGGTGTTGGTGCAAGCCTCCACTATTGGTTCTCTTGGTATGCAGATCAGCTCCTTAATCGCCTAGACATCTATGTTCTATTTCGTAACCTCATTTTGCACGCTTGAAAGATTTTAGTTGAATAGATGGCCATCGCCTCCATTGGATTGATTAGAAAGTTCATCATTGAGGGCAATGCTATTATGATGGGGGGAGTAATATTGTGAATACACAACATAAAATTGTAATTAGTTACTAATATTGTGAGTTTATGATTCACATCGAAATCATTTTTGCAATTAGTGTTAGTAGGGATGAGTAGTTAGTGAGTTAGATTTGTACTCTATAAATATCTCATTTAAGGAGAGGATGAGGATATGAGAATATGAATGAATTTCCCCTTATTGAATCTAATTTCTAATTTATGTTTTATTTTTTCTTTGGGTGTGATTAAGCTTGAAATGTTATTTAGGTTCTTGGATCATATCATTTTATATTCCTATAAAGGGGATTGTAGCTTAATTCTCTCTTTTTATGCATATATATGCATAACCTATATGCTTATGTAAGTATGCATGTTTGAGGTTTTCTCTATCTTAAGAAACACATAAGATTATAAAATTATGATTGTGGTTTGATATATTCCTAGATTGGGGATAAATTGTCTATTTTATTGTTTATCTTTGTTGACCTATAACTACCAGTCAGGGATTTTTTTGACTTTTGCTAGAGATCCGCTGGGAAACGCTTCTTTTTTGAGAGAAACTAGCGCCTTTTGTTTTAGAAGAAATTCTTTCATTCAAGAGTCAGGGATTTTTTTGACTAATTTCATCACTGGTCTGAAAACTCATTGATTTCATTTCCATTTTGAGGAGAGAGAGAGAGAGAGAGAGAGAGAGAGAGAGAGAAGAGAGCATTTTTAAATAGGTACAACAAATTGGGAGTAATTTGAAGGATGTCTTGGGGTTGATCCGGTTCCCCGAAGCCCTTGGTCGTCAAGTTTATCCGACCGAGGGAGCGTAAACACTACTCTTCCAGTCTCCTCGCTGATGATTTGCTTCGGCCTAGTCGAGCCAAAGGGCAAATGCCCTCCTTATCTCCCGATGCCGGGAAGGGGATGCCGGGAGACTATCGATTTTTTTTCAAAAAATTTGAGACTTAGACAAATTTTTGAAAGATTGGAAAAATATTAAATCAAAATTTAATTTTAATTAAAATTCATTAAAAAAAAGAAAAGAGGAAAGATTTTCAAATAGGTGGGAGCAATTTGAAGGAAGTCCCGGGATTTGATCCGGTCCCCCGAAGCCCTCGGTCGTCAAAGCTTATCCGTCCGAGGGATTGAAGACATGAAGACTCAATCTCCTCGCCGTTGATTCGCTCCGATCGAGTCGAACCACTTTTTACCTCCCGACATCGGGGAGGGGACGTCGGAAGGTTGCCGAAAATTTCTCGAAAACTCTGTACTTAGCCAAATTTTTGGGAAGATTGGAAAATGCTCAAATGACC